TGGGCATGCAGGGCTGCTACTGCAGGCTGTGGTCAGGGCTCTGTGTTCATGGGTGGTCTGGCCGCTGTCCGTTTGTGTGTTCAGTGTCTCACCACAATCCCTAAGCAGCATCTTCTGAATGTGAATCCATGAGGATCAGCTGGCAGCATAAATCTCCAGTGGGTCCTGGCCCCTCCTGGAGAGACCCCTGTAGACACTGTGCACACGTGTGGGGGCGTGGGGTGGGCAGCGGGTCCATACTTTGAAAGTGACCCCCAGGCGACACACAGTCTGCTGCCAGTGCTGTAACCCGGGCTTGACCACGGTCCTCTTCAGCACCGGTCCTCTTCAGAAACCGGACCCTGTCCTGGCCGAGAGGGAGTTGAGGGGGTTTTGAGCAAGAACGAAACAAAGGCTTATCTTGTGCTAATAAATATGTGTAAACGTTAAGGCCCCTCCTGGGTAATTGAGATCTCTGCAGCTTTCTGCTGTGACCCCAGGTGTGCTGGGCATGCACGTCCCCCTCCTGAGCCACACGCTCTCTTTCCAGAAACAGGTGCAAAGCGACTTCTGAGTCCTGACCCAGTTTCTCGGCCTCGCCCGCTGTTCTTGGATCTCAGAACAGCCTCTGCCAGGTCGGTCCTTTTGCGCTGAGCGGGTGTGGTCGACACAGGTAGAGGGAATCCTCTGGTCTCCAGCCTGCACAGTCGTCTTGGGGACAGGGGCTTCACTGCGAGAGCCTTGGCCCAGGCCTTCCAGTACCTTCCATGTTCACCACTGTGTTCCCTGGAGGTGTGGGAGTGAGCGGTACTCTGGGGGTCCATCACACTTCCCCCCCAGGCCCCCCGGAAAACAACACAGGAATCATCTACATCTGACTCCACCATGCCTACAGTAAGAGAACCATCTAGAAACACTGAAGGAGCTCAGGTAAGGGGTGACCTGTCCCTGGTGTCCACCCCCGATAGCTGGAGTGGTTTGTCTTCCAGAAGGGGAGGCCTGGTGAGGTCTGCTCAGACGTTTGCCCCGGAATCAGCTCCAACAGACTGGGCCCTCAGTTTCTGTCCAGGTGGGTCTTCGGGACTCGTCCCTCAGAGTCTGGGTGCCCCGGGCCCCCTGGCTGTGCCAGTGTCCTGTACCTGCCCCATCACTCCACTGTCAGGCAGCCTCTGACCTCCTGGCTCCCTGGCTGTGGGTGGTCTGCTTGTCAGGAGGACCGGCCGCCTGGCCAGCCTGCAGGAGACCAGAGCGAGGTGGTGCCAAGGCCAAGGCATGGCCTGGCTGTCTCCGTGCAGGGCTGAGGGCCGCCCGGGGCTTTCCGCCCCCCTCTACAGATGGTCTGCTCCTCTCAAGGGGCCTGGACTTGGCCTTCCTCGCAGGTCTCAGCCTGCTTGTCCTCTCTTCTTTCTCGGTCGGGGCAGGGCTTGCTCCTGTAGGGGGCAGGACGTTTCCCTGCTTCCATGTTAGGCCCTCTTCCTGGAAAAGTATTGGTTTTCATGTCAGAGGCAGTTAGCTTGACTGGATTCAGACTCCACGTCCATCTGCCATGTGGTTGGTCTGAGCTGAAATCTCTGCAGGTCTTTCAACCTCCCAGCCAGTGTTTCTTGATGGGCCCTTTGGAGTTTCCACTACACACGCACAGTTGAGGGATCAGCCCAGGACTGAGCAGGGATTCCATGCAGATTTTGGGGTTCCCCTTCAGTCTCCCTCCTCTTATGGACATCGCCCCTTCATTTCCAGAGGCTCTTGAAATGCAGCCATGAATCCCATGACCTGAGCCCTCTGGCCAGGATGGTGCCGTGTCTGCTGTGTTCCCCTTGCACCTGTGGCATGGCCTGGGGGGCACCTGCAGATGGACCTTCCGAGGGCTAATCTCCTCCAGTGTCTGCTTAGCTTTGGCAATTCTCCAGCGCCTTCAGCCATTGTTGTTTTGAGTAGGTTTCCGGAGTGTGTGATGCTGTCTGCAGGGGTTCATCTGGTACAAGCTGCTCCCCCACTATGGGAATTGGAACTGCTTTCTCTCATGTGATTTTTCATTTTCATTCCCCTTGTAACGAGTGTGGTTCAGCATCCTTTTCCTATGTTTAATGGCTCTTTGGATATCTTTTGTGAGGTGTCTGTTCAATTCTCTTGCCTATTTCTCTACTGAATTATGCAATTTTTCTAATTGATTTGCAGGAGTTCTCTCTATGTTCTGGACATGTTGTCAGTTGTATGTTTAGGAAATATTGTGAAAGACTCTAAGTGGACCAAAGACGACTTCTTCGGTCTTCAGTGGGAAGCATGGCACTGTCTGGCACCCTGCTCCAGGTTACTCGACTCAGCAGGGTCTCTGCACTCTCCATTGCCTTTGAGCTCTTTTACAGCTCTGTAAGTTGTAGAGAATCAAAGGCGATGGGAATTCTCTATTCTGGAAGGATGGTTGATTCTTCCCTGCCTCCTGTGGAGAAAGCCAGGTGCATTCAAAAATGCATCTGTTGATAAACTCTTTTTAGCATTCTTGATTCCACTATATCAGTGAGGGACTTTGAACTCTACTTTAAACTACTTATAACCCCTTAATTAATGAGTTAAATAGTCTTTGAAATGTGTTCATTATCTGTCTATATGAGAGTCGTGATCACCATGTTAAAACCTGTCCTTCAACATGTCGCAAATGTCTTCTCCCCATGGCCCCAGTTATCCTGGGTCAAGGAAGTTCTGTGACCGGGAGGGGGCAGGAGACCAGGTATTGAGGAGCAGACCCGAGGGAGGCTGGCCACTCCGTTCCTCCAGGGCTCTGGTTCAGGGCGCTCCCCTGGGACAGCTTCCCTCCGTCCCTTCTGTTGTGTGGCCTCACAGCGCCACAGTTTTCCCTCACAGCACTTATCACAGTGTCCTTACGTCACTGTTTGCAGGCTCATGTACTTCACGTCTGGGGTGATGGACGCAGGTGGATACTGACTGGGAGAGGCTGGCATAGACACAGGCCAGGGGAGGGTGGGGTGCATTCTCGTGGGTGCATTAGGGAAGACTGACAGAGGAGGAGGTGTGGAGCTCAGAGCTAAGAGAAGGCTGTGTAGGATTTGCTGGGTGTGTAGAGGGAGCGAACACTAGGGGAAGGGAACAGCGTGAGCAGACACTCGGGTCAGGAGGCAGTGTGAGGGACCGAGGTATTTGATACCTGAGTGGGTGGGGTCAGGGTACTGCGTGTGTGTGTTCCTGGACCTAATTTCCCTGTTTTGGGATGAATTGTGTTCCCCAATATCAAATCTTGAAGCCGTGACCCCCAGGACTTCTGAATATGGCTATATCTGGAGATAGAGTCTTTCAATGTGTAGTAAGTTAAAATGGGGTCAGTAGGCTGGGCCCTAATCCAGTGTGACTGCCTGTCCTATAAGAAGAGGGATCAGGGCACAGACACTCTCAGAGGGAGGCCGGGGCGAGGACACGGGGAGAAGAGGCCGTCTACACAGCTAGGAGAGAGGCCTCAGCAGAACCCCACTCTGCTGACACCTGCTCTGGGAGGTGCAGCCTCCAGACGTGTGAGAGAACAAATGTCTGTTGTTCAGGCCGCCCAGGCTGGTCATTGCAGCAGCCATGCTGACTCATACACACACAGCATGGGGGTCTTGCTTTTGGCCACGGCCAGTGCTGGAAGCTCCTCTTGCCCCTGGCCCCAGGCTGGCCCTGCTCTCCACCACGCCCCGTCAGCCCCCTCGCCCCTCCTCATAGCCCCATTTCTGGGCTGCCTTCCTCACCCACAGAACCCCAGGGGCTGGAGGAGAGCTGAGGGCAGGAGGGGAGGATGGGCTGGAAGGTTCTGCAGCTGGGAGGGTGTGGAGGGTGTCCCTGATGCGCGACTTGGCCAGGTTGTAGATTTCACGAGGTACATCAACACAGTGAGGTGTGGAATTTTTAAGGATGTTTTATTGTTGTTTTAAACAAAGTAAGAATAAAGAAAATCAATGGGCCTCAGAAATGTATAATGAAGGAAAAATCTACCGAAGCTACAACTGTGGCCTTTCCTTTGAGCAATCTATCTGGGCATTGTCCTCCCGTAGTCAGTGCGGGGGTCCGCCTCTCCTTCCCTTGTGCATCTGTGTCCTTCCCATCTAGAGACGCAGACTTGCCATTCACTCAGAGACGTGAGGGGGGAATCGAATCCCGGGCTGGTGAGTTCAGGGGTCTGACCTTGGTCCACCTGGGCGGCTCCCCAAGGCCATGGGCTCTCTCCTTGGTGGTCTCGTATCCCACCCCCGGGCCGTGGAGCAACCTGGAGTTCCTGCGGAACGTGGCTCAGGCCCTGCTCCAGGAGGCCATCTGCCTGCATGCTCATCCCCTCGCCATGTGCTGCCGCCCCCACCTACCAGGGCTCCTGCTGTGGCCGTGGGCCCAGGCCCTCCTCCGAGTGCTCTCCCTGGGTGGAGGCGTGCTGAGTGACTGTTAGGGTCACATCTGGAAGCTTCCCTGTTGATGGACGACGGCCCCGTGTCCTCCTGGCCTTGGCAGCAGATGTTTCCACTCGAGGATCTGAAACCACGCGTCTCCTCTTGGGAACCCTGTGTCCTGAATCCCGGCGTGGATGCAGTTTGCTTGAAGGCCCATCCCTGCCCAGATGGACATGGGCACATCGGCCCTCCACCTCCTCCAGGGTGACCGTACATGCCGACCCTGGGGGAGTCCTGGTGAGGGACGCTCGGCCCTGATGACTTAGCATCCACATAGCCCTGGTGTTTCTTGGTGGCTGCTGTGGAGCGGCTGGTGGGCGTCCATCAGCTCAGCTCAGGGTTACAACTGCTGTCCGTTTGGTTCTCCAAATGGGGTTCAGGGGGCAGGATGCAGCGTGTGGTGGCTGTGAGGCCAGAGTGTGAAGTGCAGGTCAAAGGGGCCATGAGGTCAGAGTGCGGTAGTTCAGAGTCGGGGGAGGTCAGAAAGCAGAGGAGCAGGTCTGAGGGGCATGTTGAACATCATGTACAGATGGACTAGGATCCTGTGCAAAGTCTGGGACAGCCCTGCACACCCACCCAGGAGGAGTGGCCCTAGGGCCCTTGCCTGATCATGTTCGTGTAGTCGGGGATGATGGTCCGCTTCAGCTCCACCACCGAGGAGAAGATCCACTTCACCTGCAGTGGGCGGGCGAGGGGTGAGCATGGCCTGGACCCCAACGCCAGCCTCCTGCCAGGGCCTGCCCTCCCTGCACCCGGGGCTGCCTGACAGTGGGGGGTCCAGCTGGGGACGACGTGGGGACATGCTGCTGGTGACAGTCAGTGGACTGACAGGGCATAGCATAGGGACAGTGATGGAACAGTGAGCGGGCAGTGAGGGGACAGAGAGGGGACAGCAAGAGGACATGGTAGAGACTGCAAGGGGACAAGGAAGGGACATGGTGGGGACAGTGACAGGATAGCAAGGGGAGTGAGACGACAGTGAGGGGACAGTCGGGACAGTGTGGTGAAAGTGTTAGGACAGCCCGTGGTCTGTTGGGGACAGGGATGGGTTAATGTAGGTACAGTGTGGAGAAAGTGAGGGGACAGTGATGGGCAGCAAGGGGACGGTGTGGGAACACTGAAAACATGGTGGGGAGATGAGGGGATAGCAAGGGGACATTGAGGGACATGGTGAAGACAGTGTGCTGACAGCATGGTGAGAGTAGGGGACGACGTGGGGAGGGCCTGGCCCACCTTGAAGAGGGTGACGGTGGCGCTGTAGCCCACACTGAGCAGGAAGAGTGTGATGAAGATGGAGATGGTGGTCCACAGCCCGTCCAGCTCCCCCTCTTGGGTCTCGACACAGCTCTGGTCCAGGACCATCTCTGGACAGGGAGGGGGTGGTCAGTGCTGTGCCTGCCCATGGGGGCCTGGTGCAGGGTTGGCAGGGCCTCGGGGGGTGATTCCCTCTGGGGCAGGGTGGATGGGGCAGGTGGGAGCCCCCAGCTGGGCTGGGCCAGCAAGGCCCTGAGGACTATCTCTGGGCACCAACCTCAGCTCCCCTGTTGCTCTAGCTGGGACCCCAGGACTCGTCTAGTCACCCTTGACCCAGATCTCAGCCTGGCCAGTGGGGGACAGCCCTCTCCTCTGCTCTGCCCTCTGTTGGGGCCCTCTGGGGAGAAGGTGCCCCAACGTCTGCAGGACAGAGGCTCAGGCCCCACCTCGTCTCTCCCGGGGACCAGGCCCAGAGGGCGGAGGGTCAGCAGAGCCTGTCCACAGTGGGGACCCTGTCCCAGGGAGGGGGGCTGAGACAGGGTTGGGTGTGTCCCCAGTGCAGAGTGGTGGGAGTGCTGGGCACAAGCTGGGTGTGGGGGGATTTCTGCGTGTCAGGGTGGGGGTGTATGTACCCCTGGGATGAGGAGGGCCAGTTGTCAGAGCTGGTTAGTGTGGTCAGTGTCAGGATGAGGCCTGAGCAGCCCCCGGGGTGTTGGAGGCTGTGGGGACCCTCTGGTGTCCACGGTGAGGGGTCAGGAGACTGGGCTCCGTGCTTTGTTGGGAATGTGCAGGATGCCCTTGTGGGAGCCCCAGTGTGTAAGGTCTGCTGTGTGTGTGTGTGCGTGTGCAAACGTGCATGTGTGTGGAGGTGGTGTGTGTGCTGGCACAGCTCAGTGAGAGGGGCTTGTTTTCAGTGGGTGTGGGCTCATTGTCCACGTGGGTGTCATGGATGGTCCTTTCCTTGGGCGCTCAGTGACACCTTTGGATCCGTGGGTGAGTGTCCCCACAAGTGGACAGGCCAGGCCCGGCAGGACAAAGCCGGGCAGAGCCATATCACCTGGGGGACGGTGGTGGCCTGATCTCAGAGTGCCTGAGGGGAAAGCAGGGCCTGTCGCCCTACCAGGGGCCAGGCAAGTCTCCCATATGGGTCAGAGCAACTGGGTGGACCTCTCAAGTGACCCAGTGGACAGGGAACCCCGGAGGACAAGGACGGGCCACTGTCCCACAGCTTGGGCCCCTACAGAGGAGGGACAGCCTGTGCACACATTTCCCTGAGGGGCTCCGGAGGGGCTTCTCCTGTTCCCTGGCCACACTCCAGCCCCGAGCATCTGCTGCTGGAGGGGGACCCAGAGGAGCTGCCGCCTCTGGCGATGTCCCCTCCCCTCCTCAGGCAGCCCCTCCAGCAATCCTGTGTGGCCTGCACAGCCCAGGGCTCTGAGTCTGGCTTCAGTGGGACCCACTCTTTGCCCTAATGGTGACAACTGTGGTCTCAGAGCTCGGCGGCCTTGTCCCCAGCAGGCCTGGCCATACACCAGAGCTCTGCCTCGGAAAGAACCATGACAGTGTTGCAGGGTCCCAGGGCCATGCTGGGTGCTTTATTTCATGCCAGAGGGCCCGGGAGGTGTGTACACAGGGGTGGGGGCTCAGTTGTCCTCGTGGGACCCTGAGAGCCTTCGGGGATGGAGGGAGGGCTCGCCGATATGCCGTGCATGTGGCTTATTTACCCGGAGACTGGGAGATGGATCTCTGCCTATAGTGATTGTGGAGAGCCTCGTGCATCACCGCACATGTGAACATTTCTCCCTGCTTCCACCTGTCCGTCTCCACTGAGAGCTTGCTGTACAGGAAGTAGGACCCGTCGCTGTCCCGCTGGGCTGAGGTGGTGCTGTACTTGCCCTCCGGCTCTGGATGCTCATCGCTCTGCCACTCAACAACGATGTCAGGTGGGTAGAAGTCTTTGACCAGGCAGGTCACGCTGACCGTGTTCCTGGACAGCTCGTCCCGGTGTGGGGGCAGGATGTACACCTGTGGCTCCCGGGCCTGCCCTGTGGGGACAGGGATTGGTACAGATCGTCACTCCCTGCACGGCCCCTGGGGACCCTCCCCACACCCGTCTGTCCTGCTCTCACCTTTGGCCTTGGAGATGGTCCTCTCAATGGGGGCCGGGAGGGCTCTGTTGTTGACCTTACACTTGAACGCCTTTCCACTTAGCCAGTCCTGGTGCTGGACGGGGAGGACGCTGACCACGCGGTAGGTGCTGTTGAACTGCTCCTCCTTCATCTTCGTTGCAGCCGTGCTCACCTCTGTGGCGTCCATGTACCAGGTGAACTGGACATCAGGGTCTTCATGGCTCACGTCTACCACCATGCAGGTGACCTCAGGCCTTCGGGAGATCATGAGGGTGTCTTTGGGTTTTGGGGGGAAGATGAAGACCAAAGGCCCTCCTAGAACAGGGGTGGGAGACATGGGGGAGTGGTCAGCACCTGGGCGAGCCTCTTCTTGGGTGCTCATCCCCCCACGGGCCCTGCCTGTGCTCTGCCACCTCCCGGGAGTGGAGGGCCAGGCCCGGCTGACTCACCTGGGCATTCGGGAGACTTGCTGCAGGACTTCGGGTCTCTTACGACTGCAGAGAGAGCAGACTGTGGGTTACCAATGGCCTTGGTGTGGGCTTAGGTCAGGGCTAGGTTTTGGCAGATCTGAGACCAGCTCCCACCTCTGTGGGCCCAGGGGCTGGGTTAGGGGTGTCCAGCCTGCCCCCACCCTGAGCATGGCGGAAACACCCAGAGGACCCCTCTCTGAGCTAGGGAGGCCTCCCTTGCTGCCCTGGGGTCCAGGCAGGAGGGCTGACCCCTGGCCTGTCTCGCAGGGAACACCCTCCATGCAGCCCCTCCTCTCACCGACTCTCTTGTCCACCTTGGTGCTGCTGGCCGGGTGGGCTACGTTGCAGGTGTAGGTCTGGCTCTCCAAGCTGCTGGCAGGCACGGTCACGATGCTGCTGAGGGTGTAGAGCCCCGAGGACCTCAGGACGGGCGGGAAGGTGTGCACGCCACTGGTCAGGGAGCCCGAGTTCCAGGACACGGTCACTGGCTCTGGGATGTAGCTGGAGACCAGGCAGCCCAGGGCCACCGTGGGGCCAGATGTGTCCCCACAGCATGGGGCCAGTGGGAAGAGTGATGGGGCCTTGGTGGAGGCTGCAAGAGAGGAGGCCGTGAGACCACCAGGGCCTCACCCTGCGAGAGCCTGGGCAGAGTGTCAGGTGCCCAGGCCTGGGACATCACTGACCCCAGCGCCAATGTGCTTCCAGGGAGTCTGCAGACTAGATGCCCCACGTGGCTCCCCATCCCCCAGGGCTGGTGCCTCTGCATCAACACTGGATGACCACCTTCAGGGCCCCTGCCCCCTTGTCCCCACTCTGGCCTTCAACGGGTGGCCAGCCTGATTGAACCCTCTGTCCGAGACCTGACCCGAGACCACTGCTACTGGCCGGCTTCTGCTGATCCCACAATCCAATGTCCTGTTGCCCTAGCCTGGCCGTGCCCTGGGCAAGCAGGCACCTCTCGGGTGCTGTTGGCCTCTGCCCACGCCACCTGTGTCTCCTCCTGGCCCCTCAGCACAGAGCCTTCGTCGTGACTTGTCTCTCCTTGCCAGACCCTGTGTCTTCTGAGTCAGCTCTGCAGCCAAGACACCACGGGCCCTCCTCCCCGGCCCTGCCCTCACCCTGTCCCTGCCCTGAACCCGGCCTCTGCCCTGGATCCCATCCCTGCCCTGAACCCTGTCCCTGCCCTGGACCCCGTTCCTGCCCTGGACCCAGCCCCTGCCCTGGACCCCGTCCCTGCCCTGGACCCAGCCCCTGCCCTGGACCCTGTCCCTGCCCTGGACCCCGTCCTTGCCCTGGACCCTTTCCCTGCCCTGAACCCTGTCCCTGCCCTGGACCCTGTCCCTGCCCTGGATCCTGTCCTTGCCCTGAACCCTGTCCCTGCCCTGGACCCTGTCCTTGCCCTGAACCCTGTCCCTGCCCTGGACCCTGTCCTTGCCCTGGACCCTGTCCTTGCCCTCACCCTGTCCCTGCCCTGGATGCCGTCTCTGCCCTGGACCCCATCCCTGTCCTGGACCCCGTCCCTGGGAGTTTCCTTCTCCTCCTCCCCTCTGTCCCTGAGGCCTCCCAGCCCAGGCTCCTAAATCTGCCTCTGGGCCCACCGTCCCTCCTCAGGTCCTCTTGGCATGGCTTCCTGAGCTCACCTCCGGCCCCTCTCTCCCAGAGCCCCCTGCCCTCCGCCATCCCTGCTCTTGGGCCTGTCCAGCTCCTTCCTCACTCCAGAGCCCTCCTCCAGCCAGAGTCCTTCCCCAGCCCAGCCTGCCCCTCATGTTGGGTGGGAGCCGTGCGTGGCCCTGGGCCCTCCTCTCCCCTCGGTGCCAGCATCCCCAGGCCCCAGTGTGGATCGGGGTGCACCCTCTACCCACACATCTGGGCCAGGCCTATCCCCTGTGTCCCTGACTCCTGTCTGCTCAGCCCCAGGGCCCTGCCCGACCTTTCCCCAGGCTGGCAGCCCAGGGTCAGGCCCCAAATGAACGCTGTCTTTTCCCTCCACCAGGTCCACTGCCCTGTGCCACCCTGCACTGCTTCTGTGTGTCTAGCTCTCCTACCTACGCCTCCACAGGGCCTTGGTACAGAGCTGGTGCTCCTGGACCCAAGAACTGCACCACGTCTCGTCCCACCAGGGGTGCCCCCCTGCCACTTCAGCCTCAGGGAACTTCGATCCCAGTGTACCCCTCCATCAGAACTCACCATCACCTGGCCCCTCAACCAGCTCACACTCTCCTCCCTGCACAGGGAGGACACCTGAGGCCCCTGAACCCCAGCTGGCCCTGATCCCTGTACCTGCTCAGCTCCGCCTGTCCTGGGCACCATTTATCTAAGGCTGACTGACCCTCTTCCCTGAGCTTCTAGGCAGCCCCCTGCCCCTCTTGCCCTCCACCTGTCGCTGCTTACCTCCCAAGCTCTGCCAGCCCCCTTGGAGTTCCAGGGCAGCCCCCTGCCCTTCCTGCCCTCCACCTACCCCGGCTCACCTATAGCTGCTCTGCCTGCTCCGCGGGTCCTCCTACCTGCCCTGCTCATCTGTAGCTGCTCTGCCCCTCATCCCTGGAGCTCCTGATCCACAGCAGCTCCCTACCCCTCCCTGCCCTACGATCCCCCCTCCCACAGGTCCCTGAGCTCAGCCCAGGACTGCTGGGTCTCCCCAGGGCTGCCTCTGCCCCTCCTGCCTGTCCCGGAGCCCTCAGCCCAGGGTTGCACTCTTCTTGGTCTCATTCATTTCCCAGCGTTGGGCTTTCTCTCCTGGAGCCATCAGGTGCCCACACTCTCTCTGGTCAGCTCTCCCCTTTCAGAGGCCCTCCCATGGCCTAATCCCTTCCCAGATGAGCTCCTGGCCCCAGCTGGGCCTCATCCTCTCCTCGCCCTGCAACACCCTCGGAAGACCTGTCTGGAAGTCCCCTCTGGACCTTGCTCCCTGCAGCTGCCAGGTCAGCTGCCCTGTGCCCACCAGCTCGCAGCCCCTGGAGCCCCGGCTCCTGCTCTTGACCCTCATTGCCTGGCTCCCGACGCCCCTCCCACAGCCCACTGAGCTCCTGCTCAGCCCTGTGCTGTCTGAGTTCTGAGCACACGGGAGCCCACGCTGCCCCCTTGCTCTGCTCCTGGCTCACCTGCTGCCCTTGGCCTTGGTCGGAGCCCAGGACCCATGACCACCACCACTGACCCTGCCCTGGGGCTCGAGCTGTGTCCATTGGACTGGACAGGAGGATCCTTAGGCCACCTGGGGGTCCTCTTCCTCACCTGTCCTGATCCAGGCCCCTCCCTGTGTCCTGTGCTCAAACCCATCTGTCCATCCTGGCTTCTGTCCTGCAGCAGCTCAGCTCCTGCCAGGCCCTGCCCTCAGCACAGCTGGCCAAGTCCAACCCTCAGGCTGCTGGCCTCCCAGCCCATCACGTTCCTCGAAGTCCCTGGGTACTTCAGCCCAGCCAAACTCCGTCTGTCTCTGGTAGATCCAGCTCTGTTGGCATGGGCATGCCCCCGCCCATGGCTCCCTGGTGCTGGGTCTGGGTTGGCGCTGTGGCCTGTGGGCAGCCTGCCATCCCCCTTGCTGGCTGAGCTGCTCGAGACCCTCTGTGACGTCCCTGAGGGTCTGGTCTCCCCTCAGCTCCTGCGGCTGGTTCCACTGTCCCCAGTTCACTCCCTCCCCCTCCTCCGTGGGGACCCCACTCACCAAGGGTGCAGGCCATGAGTACGGATCCCCCGCAGTCCAGTCTGGATCTCTGACGAGCCCCCGCCCCCTCTGTGCTCTGGCCCCAGGCACGTGTGGCTCCTTGTGGCGCCGTGTTCTGTGCCCACTACCCGGCTCCTCGGAGTTCATAGCCTGGTCCTCGGAGGTGTGAACTCCCTCCCGATAGCCCCGCAAAGACTAAAAATGGGGTTGAAACCAGGGGGTACCTCTTGCTTCCTGAAGTTCCTTTTTCTTCTGGGTGGTTTGTGTCTCAGAGGGCCTGGGAGGAGTTGATACGTGGCCGAGGCTGCCTCACGTGGGTGCGTGGGAGTGGGGTGTGGCGGGTGCCAGGGACCCAGGGGAGAGTGCCGGAAGCCCAGCCTCTTGTGCTTCTCTTTGCACTCTGCCTCCCACAGGGATTATGCCCACTTGACCCACCTGATGGGCCTCTCACCTGAGGCCTCTGGTCCCCCAATCCCCAGTGGGCACCTCTTCTTGCCCGGGTCAGCGTGCAGTGTGGACACAGGCTGTCCTGCTCACAGCCCGCAACCTAGCCCAGGGCCTCGTCCTGTCCACCCACCAGGATGGCCTCCCAAGTAGAAAGCTGTCTTCCTCTGGGTCCCTGCTTCTTCCCTCCTTCCCTCTCTGGCTCCATCCAGGGCTCAGATCTCTGACAGAAGGATGGTGTAACACCCAGGGTCAGAGGGAAGCTATTCTCCCAGCCACAGCTGTCCTCCGGGGGATGGACAGAAGTGTGATGTGCAAGGACAGAGTTCACGGTGGTCACTGGGGCCCGAACGTGCTCCTCCATCTGAGAGACAACGTGCAGTCCCTGTCCTCCCGTGTGTGGGCCGAGATCCAGCCGTCCTGTGTAGGAGGGGACACGGACGCTCAGTGTCTCGTGTCTTGGAGTGCCGCGGCTCACTCCAGGCCCTGTGTCCACCCCTGGGCTGCCCTGTATCTTCCACGTTGGGCTTTGGATTGGGGATCCCTGGGAGGCACTGTGGCTTCCACTCCAGAATTGCCGGGGGCCAAGAAGGTGACTGGGGGCTGTCCGGCCTGGCTCCTTCCAAGTGGTCGGTGGACAGGGGCTTGTGCTGTGGCCCCTTCAGGTGGGCTGGGAGCAGAGTCCAAGGAAGTAGGAAGGAAACCTTCTAGGAGGTGCCCTCAGACATAGGAGGGGAGCAGGCCCTCCTACCACCTGGTCTTTGCCTCATCCTTTGGCCTCGGTGTCCCCAGAGCCACCCCACGTCCTCCAACAGTCTCCCCCGGGTCCCTTCACCTTCCCGCTCTCAAGTTCTCCCACCACTTGCCACAATTGGGGGTTTTCTCAGAGCAGCAGCCACGTCCAAGTCCCAAACCCTGGTCTGGTGGCTCATGGGTGTGCAGTGGGCCGCCACACAGGGAGAAGCTTGCACAGCTAGCCTGCTGAGTTTGTTGGGGTGTTGGTGGCCTGCAGGTGGTGCCAGGCTCTGTGGGTGAGGGGCACTCCTCTCTGCTCCACTTACACCAGCAAGGGGCTGGAAGGCTCCACTTGGCGTCTGTCACCTGGGCTGGGCGGGCCCCCGTGGTCTTCTCTGTCTCCAAGGGCCTCTCTGCAGGGACTCCCCAGCACTGTCCCTTCACATAACTGGATTGCTGCTCAGTGCCTGGGCCTGATTCCCAGGAGAAGCCCTGTCTCCTTAGCTCCTGCTCTCAGGGATCCAGCAGCAGCCCCTCTGCAGCCCCATCCCCATGGAGGGGGTCTCACAGGCCCTGGGTTCCAGGGAGGGAAGTGAACCCTGCCTCAGCATGCGGCAGGGCCAGGTGATGGAAGATCCCATGGTCCTGGAAATGTTGCTGTGGCCACTTTGCCAAATGTCACCGGCCACAACCTTGATGAAGGGAGTGCCCTCTGGTCGCTCCCAGGAGGAGTTCATGATAAATCCACAGCACACTCCCGGCTCCTCCGGCCCGGCTTCCTCTCCACTGTGCCCACACAGTTCTGCCATCTCTCCCATGTAAGGCAGGCCACCCGCGAGTCATAACACGAGCAATTGGTCACCGGCTCTATAAGCTGTGAATGTCACTATGGTTGCCTAAGAAGCACATTCATCTACGTAGTTTCTGGTCAGTGAAATGCTGACACAAATAATCCATAATCAATCTATAAATTAAAACTTGAGTGAGTTTATTATCTGAGCCAATCAGAAGACGATATAGCCTGGGAGAACGACCTTTAACAAGGAAGGAGCTCCTCCAAAGAAGGTGGGTGTACAGCGTGGTTATATACTGTCTTGGAACAAGGAACATACATCATATATGACAGGAATGTCTCTTTTACAACAGTTACAAAATGCCTTCATAGCACAGCCGGTCAGCGGACACCAGATGAGCACATAGGCCAGTCATGAATCCTAATTTTCTGGGGAGAAATGCTGATATGGGGAGGATATCTTTAAGAGCATCATCCTCACCTTTGGGACAGGTAAATGCTTACAGCAGATGTACAATGCATGCTCCACAGGCCACGTTAGGCCTTTCTGGAAGAACAAGGTCAGGCCGAATTGGTTTTAAACCAAATGGCTTCCTCATATTCCTCAATATGTTAACTTTTCTTATGTTTTTCATTTCTTCATCATCACCAATGCTGATGAGTTTGGCAAAACTCCTGACAGTGTCTTGGCTAGTGGGTGTTAGGTGCATAGAGCCCACTGCCCCCTCTAAGCCCAGGGATCTAGCAAGACAAGTCGTCACATTGTGCATTGACCTGGGGTGCTTGGTGCCCCTCCTGGTTCCCATGCTGTCTGCGGGGGTTATGGTGGTGGGGCTGGTGTCGAGGAAGATCAGTCACTCTTGGGATCATGACAGGATTCTTAGGCACCAGGCCGAGCTGTCCCTGGACCTCGGTGGATGGTGGGCCACTGTAGCTGGAGAGGGCGTGACCATGCGATGTGGATGTTCAAGCCACTGGGCTTTATCAGAATCCACACACCTGTCCCCCTTTGGCTCTGAAGGTCCCATTCTTTCCAGACAAACCCTT